ATGTTTGATAAGGCAAAGTGACCAAACGTGATATGCCTCATCCACCGATTCAGGTATCCAATAAAACAGCGCACAAAAAGCAGCAAATTCTTAAAACTCGCACCAGCCTAAACAGAGATTAGCAAAAACCGTAACTATCATGGCGACTCTAGAGACAGTATGACCTGACATCTAAGCGGCAGACGCCCAGGATGACTCAGTGAGGCCTAACAGCCAACCTGGCCATTTACTAAGCCAATAAGCATTACCTAGACGTATGCAAGATTTGCGAAAAGCCCACCGAATGTGCTTCATGCTCCTTATCGAACTGGAAATTACGAATAAAGTGGAACAAAATAATGGTCATTCAGACACCGTGAGTCGACACACATGTGAGATAAGTTTCACATCACTCTCGACTAGTACTGGTGAGTCCCATTCAACGGTTACTTGCCTTATCTTCCTGTGTTTCCTGGTCGCCACAAAAACAGCAAAGCCTTTCAAAAGAATTGCTTGCAATCCTTACTAACACCGAATGAAGAAACAACGTTCTTTTCCCTACAATGAAGCATATTACGTACCCAAAGGAGGGATTACTTAACCAATATATTGTACTACCGCCCAAAAAATTTTAGGCATGAAGAAGACAAAAATATTCCTCAAAAACTAGGATTAATCCAACAAACTACTAGCGTTTGATCTCTCTTGCATCCGGTAATCAGGGCGTACCATTTACAGGCTATCGGCCAAATCAGATAACAACAACAGAAACGAGTCCGAAATGGGCAGGTAATGCAAGCAACCAGTTAATCTGGTAAAGCAAAGGCCCACAAATTTCCCGTTTGTGTGACAGAGCAAAGATTAGCACTCTAAACTTCAGGTCTTCAAGAGAGAAGACAAAGCTTACGAGCTATGCAAATGAGTATTTGTGGTGCTTAGAGGTAACAAAATCCTTTACATTCCTTGAAGGTTTCACACTGATTTCGTTCTACTAAAGCAAAGTGGGAATGGACATCTAAATACGGCAAACTGCCATCTAGATTTTACTCATTGCAAATGTGACTCTAAAAAAAACATAAAATCAACCAAACTGACTGCTTTCTTGATTTAGCAAGACGGGGTCAGTCATACGGGCGTTGACATTATGTAGATCGAACTTTTGCCAAAAGATTTTAACAGGCGAATCAAGATTAAAATGAATTGAATTAAGTGAGCAAGTCACTGCTTAATAATGTCTAATTTTTTCCGCTCAAACGAATTGAGATTTCCATAAATTAGTCGATTGTATCACAATCAAGTGCAAATTTTATAAACAGAATCAATTTTAAGTCTAACAGCGACGCCAAACATTGCCCATCAATTTGACCATTCCTTTGAGCTTCTAGACGCTTTTCATGTTATATAACTATATTCGTCCAAAAAAATTTCAGTCTAGAGTGGTATCTTGTCGACAAAATTTGAACCAGCTTCTCCACACATTCATTTTATTCATTACTGGAGCTTGAACTTCTTACTCGTTTCAATGTGCTTCTGATGAAATTGCCCAAATTTTCCAAGGAAGGTTAAGAGGCTCACATCCAATGTACCCCAACGATATCAATGGACTTATAGCAATGTCTAATTAGCAGCAAATTGCACCTCGTAGATAGAAAAATGACAATCATTACAGTTGCAATGCAAAGTGCGCAATTTGGTTCTTAGACGATCCGGCCAATAGGAGTATTGGAGAAAAAACGACTGCGTTCCCTTATTCTAACGAAATGACTTGTTGATTTTACCTTTTCCAGGCGTTCAAAGCCCTAGTAGTAACGCATTAATAATTTTAACCATTGGCAGATGCTCAACAATTGCTCAGCATTCAATGAGCACTGAATGCCACAACCAATCCACTGAAAGCCTGTTTCACTTTCACCCCACTTTCAAAACGAAAAATGGATGGTTTACAGAACATAAAATAACGTACATATGGAATTCAATTCGACAAAATTGATCCTGTCCCACTTACTAAGCTATGGTGGATATTTTTACGACACCTCCCTCCACGAAATCCAAAAGAAAGCACTAAAATCAAATGGATAATGAAGCCGTACTCACGTGTACAAACTGTATCCAAGCCACTCAAAGACAAGGGAAAAGTAGGAAAAACCTTAACGATAAAATCGGAACCCACACAAAAATTTGGACCCTTCATCAACAACCGTCTAGACTCAGAGGTGTGCATTTTGAAAAGGAAGACAAGGACGTTTTCAAGAGGTGAAATAACAAATTACGCCAAATATGTGAAAAAAAGGTTACTTGAGCACAGATTTTGAGAAGTGAAAGGATGCGTTAATCTTTTGAAATTGGGATATTGGTGCTAACAGACGTGTTCCAACAATGGGAAAATCAAAATGATGTGCGTGCCTTATCAGTAGGTAGAACACTCAAGTTCTTAACTGGATACACGTAAAAAATAATACACGCTACACTTGTGCTGCAGGTTATGAAGGAGGGAGGAGAGGCAAGAATACTAACCGTGGTTAAGCATGATATATGACTGCTTCCTTTTGACAAGCTGACTGGCTCCCACAGCATTAGCAGTAAAAGCTGCCACCCTGAGATGAGGGTAAAATGCAAAACCTAGTAGTTGCAGTGTTCTGGCGTGCACAATTGGGGGCAAAGTCTGAAAACGGCCGTGCTGGTGTAGCAGCTACAACCCAAATGTTTGGCTGACAGGCGAGTCAAATCTAACTACTTGACAAACGCCTTGGCACAAAACAGCCCAACTTCAGTAACGTACGCGAGGGCTTTGTAACTTTTCGTAACAGTCACCAATACTGAGACGTGAGCTCAGTATCACAACTAATTTTTGGGTAATAGAACCTTGAGTTCAAAAAATATATGAATAAAGACTAAATACAGTGCAAAAGCACAAGGAAGTGGAGCAACAACGTAACTAAAATGGATTCGGTGAAGCTTAATAAATACATTAGGTTACAAGAAAGGGGTGCTAGGTGAACCTCAACGTGACAATCGTTAGAGGCTGTTCAACGGCATCGAACACCTCGATGCACATATACGAGTTACAAGTTTTCAAAGTAGGCTTGAGAGAGCGTCTCCATTCGGAACTTTTGGAATGAGCGGGAGAACATTGCCTTTGAAGCACAGTTATTTTGATTGGCACTAAACTGCATCAGCTAGTATGGATGTTAATGTCGGTAAAGTGCGAGTACTTCAAAAATGTGTTTAGCGTTGGAACAAACTGACAACAGGTGCTGTTTTCGATTCGAATCCAAAGTCGAAAAATTGGAATATTCTGACAAAAGCATTACATGCCAGTATGGAGAAACCTATGTATTCAAGAAACGATAATTTCTCCCAAATCTAAGAATGTTCTACGTGAATTTACCTTGGTGGTAATTATCAAGGGCGTACACCTATTCGATCATCTTCAGCCCTGCAAAAAAAATTCCTTTTTTTTGTTCAATTTCGCTACATTGTGAGACTCGCGCATTCGTTTTTTTGTGTGAAGAACAAGAACTACTAACTTAGAGTTGCTTTTAGCTATAAATAATGTTGATGAAAAATGACTAATGGATTCCCCCAGACCTGACAAGACAGCCAACACGCTGGCGGGATGAAGACTGGTGCGTGCCACCTATGATACTAGTCACCCCGGTCATCATTTGCGCTTTTAATAGAGCTACATGTAGACTTGAGCTGAGTCGACAGTATTTAAAAGAAACAGCATTTTGGAGCTAAATGTATCAGCAAAAAACGTTTCTTTTCCCTGCAAAATGCCCTAAATGGTGAAATAGGCAAGATATGTAACGAAGAGCTTTAAGTATAAATGATGTCGCTGAAAAGAACGTCTGATATTTGGAAGATAGCACCATCATGGCAATTTTATCAATTTGAATTTTTCCAATCAAAACAAACTAGGAACGAAA